GCGATCTGCAGCATATGCCATTATGCGATCTGCAAGCATATGCCATTATGCGATCTGCAAGCATATGCGATCTGCAAGCAAATGCGATATGCAAGCATATGCGATATGCGATCTGCAAGCATATGCCATATGCGATCTGCAAGCATATGCGATCTGCGATCTGCAAGCATATGCCATATGCGATCTGCAAGCATATGCGATCTGCAGGCATATGCGATCTGCAAGCATATGCGATCTGCAAGCATATGGCAAATGCAAGCATTTGCGATCTGCAAGCATATGCGATCTGCAAGCATATGCGATCTGCAAGCATATGCGATCTGCAGGCATATGCGATCTGCAAGCATATGCAATCTGCAAGCATATGCTGTCTGCAAGCATATGCGATCTGCAAGCATATGCGATCTGCAAGCATATGCGATCTGCAAGCATATGCGATCTGCAAGCATATGCTGTCTGCAAGCATATGCGAATTCTGCAAGCATATGCTATCTGCGGCGATCTGCAAGCATATACGATCTGCAAGCATATGCGATCTGCAAGCATATGCGATCTACAAGCATATGCCATTATGCGATCTGCAAGCATATGCCATTATGCGATCTGCAAGCATATGCCATTATGCGATCTGCAAGCATATGCCATTATGCGATCTGCAAGCATATGCCATTATACGATCTGCAAGCATATGCCATATGCGATCTGCAAGCATATGCCATATGCGATCTGCAAGCATATGCGATCTGCAAGCATATGCCATTATGCGATCTGCAAGCATATGCCATATGCGATCTGCAAGCATATACCATATGCGATCTGCAAGCATATGCGATCTGCAAGCATATGCGATCTGCAAGCATATGCGATCTGCAAGCATATGCGATCTGCAAGCATATGCGATCTGCAAGCATATGCCATCTGCGATCTGCAAGCATATACGATCTGCAAGCATATGCGATCTGCAAGCATATGCGATCTACAAGCATATGCCATTATGCGATCTGCAAGCATATGCCATTATGCGATCTGCAAGCATATGCCATTATGCGATCTGCAAGCATATGCCATTATGCGATCTGCAAGCATATGCCATTATACGATCTGCAAGCATATGCCATATGCGATCTGCAAGCATATGCGATCTGCAAGCATATGCCATTATGCGATCTGCAAGCATATGCCATATGCGATCTGCAAGCATATACCATATGCGATCTGCAAGCATATGCCATATGCGATCTGCAAGCATATGCGATCTGCAAGCAT